TACTTGAAATCATGAACTTTTCGGAAAAAAAAATATTCTTGAATTTTATCAATATAATTTCATTGAATTCTTTTAAAGAATATTAATTCGTGTGGTGCCTCGTGATATTTTTCATTTCCTAATCATCATCACAACAGTAGTGTTTAAATAAGTATGTTTAGTTTGAAGTAAACGTTTGCTATGGCATGCAGAGATACCCATCAACATTATTTTTCACAGAGCTACACAAAACCATCATCATACTAATATTATATTTGCTTTATTCAAATACGTTACTCATAGATAATAACAACAGGTTAAATACAACGTAAGATATCTCTTGTCAATCAATTAAACGTGTGTGCAATGCAATTGTCATCTTGATCCTTGCCCCCCCCCCCCCCTACATAAGTCACCCTTGTATAAACAAAAATCATTAATAGTAGTTATAGTAAAATAGTAGTACTTGTAGTAATCACTACTATGTAGTCGATTTTATAAGCCGAATGCGATAAGTAGAACATTTATGGTTTTGGAGGTCGATTCGCAGGTAAAAATTGAATTGTAAACTTGCCGCAAACAGCCTTAGTCACGTTAACTTTTTATTTTCTACCTATCAAATTAGTTGCGGCTGGTTTATAATTGATTATATGGCTTTACTAGAAGTATATAGTAATAATTGTTTGGATCAGCGCCATCTAGCGTTGCGGATTTTTGAACAAAAAAGTGGCCCTAAACTTTTCAACCAGAGCTTTAGCGGTAAGAGCTACTTAGCCTATTATAAACCAGCCGCAACTCATCTTGTTGCTATAAAATAAAAAAATAACGATATATGTGTTTTTAGCGGCAAATTAACAATCTATTTTCTACCAAATAATTGACCTCCTATGTATTTATACTTTTAAAGATAAATTTTCGAGTAAAAGGTAGATTGTTAACTTGCCGCCAAAAACACATGTATCGTTATTTTTTCATTTTATAGCTACTCAATGAGTTGCGGCTGGTTTATAACAGATTAAATGGCTCTAAGCGCTAATGCTGTGGGTCAAAAGTTTAGGGCCACTTTTTAGTTCAAAAATCCTGAACGCTAGATAGCGCTGATCCAAATAATTATTACCACTTACAGTAGAGCCATGTAATCAATTACAAACCAGCCGCAACTAGTCTCACAGATATAAAATATCAAACTGACATTGTTTGTGCTATTTGCGGCAAGTTTACATTTTACTGTTACCCGAAAATCTATCTCCTAAAGTATNATGAGTTGCGGCTGGTTTATAATAGGCTAAGTAGCTCTTACCGCTAAAGCTCTGGTTGAAAAGTTTAGGGCCACTTTTGAGTTCAAAAATCCGCGACGCTAGATGGCGCTGATCCAAAAAATTATTACTACTTACAGTAGAGCCATGTAATCAATTACAAACCAGCCGCAACTAGTCTCACAGATATAAAATATCAAACTGACATTGTTTGTGCTATTTGCGGCAAGTTTACATTTTACTGTTACCCGAAAATCTATCTCCTAAAGTATAAATAATAATTAGGAGGTCGATTTTTCGGATTATTTACAAAAAAAAGTGTGAATATACGGGATGTTTATATGGGAGTTAGTTCATTTGAAGTTGGCAGCAAAGATCTAGGCACATATTTTCACGGACGTTAAACGCGTGCGGACGCGGTCAGAAGCGTCTATGTGGCCGTGGCCTAATGTTGTGTATGTACATAATTATACATACAATAATAAGTCGGCCCCAAACGGCCCAAACCAAATTTTTTTGCATACCAGACCAATCGATAAGAGTGCTTTGTAGGGCGCGCGCTTATGACAGTCAACATAGTAGGGAACGCATTTACCTATTGTAGAATTCAGGTTTTATATGGTCTACAATAGGTAAAAGGGTTCCCTATTATGTCGACTGTAACACGCGCTCTTGATCCCTACAAACCACCCATCTATTTTTTTTTTTCGTTAGTGTGATAGTGAGCTGACTTTTTCTATTGTTATTTGCGCAGCTTTAATTAGTAATGACAATTTGGAAACAATTGGACTTATTGGACAGTGGTAAAACTCATCGTACGCATGTAGATTCAGAATTTTGACTAGTTTTTTAATGATTTATTAACGTTAATAACGATAGTCATTGAACATTTCACTTTTTTCCCTTGAACTCCTATTGTGGATATTTAATACGTAAATACATAGTCTATTCTTTTTCTCTCATTCTTAAGTTAAAAACAAAAATATAATTTAACATGTAAAGGGCGCGTATTAAAATAATTAATAAACGTCTGAGTTTACTTTTTTATCAAACATAGAAAATAGACACCAGTGTAATAACAGCACTATTGATCATAGAAAGCACAGAGCTATATACTTCATTTTACTACAATAGTGACGAATTGCATGATTAAAATCATGAATGAGTTCTACGTAATATTTAATAACTCATACAATGACGAAGTTTCTCTTGATTTTAAAAGAGATAATAAGATACATAACCAGACAAGCAATTTTTTTGGTTCGTGGTCTACACGAACTACAAGTTATACATACATTGCCTAGTTATGAATTAATAATCAAGTGCAAGTATAAGAATTCAACACTGAAATTGTTTCTTGATTACAAGGGAATAACACAAACAGCAAAGTACACATGCAAGCCTATAGCCTTGTACAAGACTGTGTGTATAGACCATAAAGTAATAAGCACATCTCTTTCATATTTATACTAAAAATATAACTTCCCAACGGCAGAAAAATCTCACAGATCTATGCATTTTTCCAACTTTATCTCAAGAAACGCACCTAAGTACTCTGAGCCTTAATGAATGCAATTAATCCATTTGTAGATGGATCATGACTGTAAATCTTATCAGGAGTATTCAACTCTGGTTCAATTGCTTTAGCTAACTGTTTACCCAGCTCAACACTAAAAATAATAATAATCACATTAACAAAAAATGTATATGATTGATTAAATTATAATTATGCATACACACCCCCATTGATCAAACGAGTTAATGTCCCAGATGATACCTTGAACAAAGATTTTGTGTTCATAGATAGCTGTAAGCATTAAAAAAAATTTTAGAAAAGGGGGAAATTTGCAGAAATGATTTAAAAATATGTAACAAACCAATTAGTGCTCCAAGAGTGAATGGAGTTAGTTTTTTTACTACAATGCTGTTAGTTGGTCTGTTTCCTTCAAAAATTTTGTGTGGAAGTATTGCTTTGATTTGATTTTCACTCAAACCAGATTTTTCAAGTTCTTCTTGAGCTTGACCACGGCTCTTACCCTTCATTAAAGCTTCAGTTTGAGCTAAGAAGTTTGAAAGCAAAATTTTGTGATGCAAATCTCCTTGAACCTGGATATGGATCAATAATAGTAAATTTTCAATCGTCCTGAATTATTTTATTCTTATTTCTTAATTAAAATAAATAAACACCTTATTGTGAGACTGTACAGGGGCAATGAAATCTGCTGGTATAAGTCTCGTTCCCTGATGGATAAGTTGATAAAATGCGTGTTGTCCATTTGTTCCAGGCTCTCCCCAAACAATTGGACCTTTAAAAATTTTTCATTAATTTTGCATTCTGACTTATACTCAATTTATTTCAAGAATGTAATTATTTACCAGTTGAATAGTTAACAATATCACCAGATCTTGTAACATACTTTCCATTACTTTCCATGTCACCTTGTTGGAAGTAGGCAGCAAATCTATGAAGATATTGGTCATAAGGTAACAAAGCATGAGTTTCAGCACCATAGAAGTTATGATACCAAATTCCCAACAAAGCAAGAATCACTGGGGCCTAAAAATATCAAATTTTTTTTTTTTTTTTTTTTTTTTTACTGAAAAATCTCAATAAAATATGTACTAACGTTTGCTTCCAATGGCGCTGTGCGGAAATGTTGATCTGTATAAAATGCACCTTCAAGGAGTTTTTCAAAATTATCAAACCCAACGGCGAGAGATATAGATAAACCAATAGCAGACCACAGAGAATATCTTCCTCCAACCCAGTCCCAAAAACCAAACATATTCTTTTCATCAATACCAAATTCCTTAACTTTCTGATTGTTAGTTGATAAAGCTATAAAGTGACGTGCTACAGCAGAGTCCTGTAACAGTTTGAATCATTTAATTCAATTGTTATGTTGTTTTAATAACTAAAAAATACATTCATAGTATTAAAAACTCACATCCTTCAAATGCTCAAGTAGCCATTTTTTAGCAGAGATGGCATTCGTAATTGTTTCTTGCGTTGTGAAGGTTTTAGATGCAATAATAAACAAAGCTGTTTCTGGGTTAAGTTTTTTCAATGTTTCAGCTATATGAGTTCCATCAATGTTGCTGACAAAGTGAACTCTGGGACCAACGTGAAATGGCTTCAAGGCTTCTGTCACCATAAGTGGACCCTAGGATGCAAGATATTTGGTATGAAAAAATCCAAAAGTATGAGTTTTAGATGTTAAAAATAGGAAATCAATATCTCACCAAATCAGAACCACCAATACCAATGTTGATAACATCTTCAATTGGTTTTCCAGTGAATCCTTTCCATTCTTTAGAAATAACCTATGGTATGCAAAAGATTAGTTGTTTCATGAATGAAAATTTTTATAAATCTTCAAAGTGATGAAAGAAACAACTTACCTGATTGGTGAATTCCTTCATGTGAGCCAAAACAGCATTTACATCAGGCATCACATCCTTGCCATCAACTAAAATGGGAGTGTTGGCTCTGTTGCGCAGTGCAGTGTGGAGTACAGCCCTGCCTTCAGTAAAGTTGATCTTTTGTCCAGTAAACATAGCATCCCTGGCCTGTTCTACTTTACGGTCTCTTGCCTATACACCAACATGATTCACCAATCAATTAAATTTCATCGGATTGAATGAAAATTCTTCATTAAAAACTATTTTTACCAATTGGAAAAGCAGACCAAAAGCATCATCTGTGATTCTGTTTTTAGAGTAATCAAGGAGAATGGGTCCATCTTGTGGTGTGTCAAGCTTCAGGCTAAAATTTGAAAGCCAAATGATGAAATTAATTAGCTGATGTAAGACTAAGTTAAAACTACCATAAGCTTGTATTCCACAGTCTCCATCAATGTTACATAATCGTCTAAATCCCTTTTCTCGGATATTTTATTTAATAGGGGGGAAGAAAAATAATAAAACCATAATGCATGCCAAAAAATAAACAAATAAATTATAAGCATGAAAAAAAAGCTTAATTAAAAAATATCCAAAACATTATTATACTGTATCAGAGCCTGTATAAATTTAAAAAACGCAATTAATGTGACTCGATAATTTTTTTAAATAAATCCCTAGATAATTTATGTACTGTCAAAAAGGTCATTTCAAGGTGAAGCCACATCGCTTGGTCTTTAAGTAGGAGCTTACCTTAGCTTGTTGAAGCGTCCGGGATCTTCCTGAAAAAGCCTGGTGATGTTGATTTTCGACCCTTCCGCGTTGAAGTGCTCCTGGAGCTTTTTCCATGTCGGCTCATCGCTCAATTTTGGCTTAGCTTCCATTTTTCAGTGTAAATGTGTTATCGCAAGCTTTACTTCACTTACTCTCACGCGCGCGGTTTGCGACTTGCGAGGCGCGATAAGGCCGATTCAATTTCATGCATCCACTCTCGCGGGATAAGGTGGAAAAAATATATTGACTTTTGAAACTTGAATCGAGATCGAGAGGGTTTCTAAGCTTTCACTAGTCGATCAAGTGAAACATTTTGTTTGTGGGATTCACCAGCTGAGCAGAGCACCAGAGGTTTTTCTCATAAAATTTCCACAGATTTCAAAGCTTGTACAGTTTCAAAAAGTATCTGTGATTTTTATTTTTTATTGTTTTGCCATGAAGACAAAAATTGACAAATCATTATTTATTGAAATGTTAACTATGTACATTGGTTATTGTACACAAACGTATATTACACATTGTTGTTTTGTAATAAATTAAGCCCACACTTATACAATTGCGGATATGTTACGGATTTATATACCACTTTTTTAAAAATATTTCAACACAATACATCATTTTAGTTATTGAGCAACATTGGGATTTGGCTCCTAAATATTTGTACTTTTGGAGATAGGTGTTCGGGTAAAAGATAAATTGTCAACTTGCCGCAAATAGCACAGACAATGTCAATTTTTATTTTAAATCTGTAAGATTATAAGTTGCGGCTGGTTTGTAATTGATTACATGGCTCTACTGTAAGTAGTAAAAATTATTTAGATCAGCGCCATCTAGCGTTGCGGATTTCTGAACTAAAAAGTGGCCCTAAACTTTTGACCCACAG